ACCGACCAACCTCATCCCGCCCCCTTGACCTGTCCGTCCTATCCCCTTCCTAACTCCCTACCTACACTCACCTTTACTGGCTCCATCCCCGCCTCTTCGACCTGTTTGTTTCCTCTCCACCTATCCTCTCCTCTATCCCTCTTCTATCCGCCTCCCACTCTCTCCCTATTTATTTCAAAACCCCCTTCCTCTCCCCCTTTTCTGATGAAGGGTCTAGGCCCGAAACGTCAGCCTCTCTGCTCCTATGATGCTGCTTGGCCTGCTGTGTTCATCCAGCCCTGCACCTTGTTGTCTCGGATTCTCCAGCATCTGCAGTTCCTACTATCTCTTGTTATTTCTATATATGTTTATGAAAGAAGTTTTCTTAATTTATGAAATATATCCTATGTGCTAGATAGTCTTTTATTTGTTGAGCTATGTTGTATACTGCCGTTATGCTTTGTGAACTTCTGTTATTGACTTACTTCAAACTAACAAATTTAGTAATTAAATGTTATGAAACATTGCCTACAGCAACCATAATGGTTCAGCTGGTAAATGTGCGACTTTGTGGTGAAATGGGCCATTCCTGGGATTCTCAAATTTTCCACCAATCTGTGCCCAAGTTGACTGAAAATAATCAGGAAATTGTTGTCTGACAAAACATAAAAAGGAAATCTAACAGATTAGTGTCTCAGACTGTCTGATCAAGCAACAATAAGTTTTGCAGAATGCACACTTTTCTCAATTATTGTGGTGATTTTTCATCTCTCTGCTGTGCCATTTTTCACTATGAATTGAAGGTAGTAAGAGTTAGTTTATAATTGAAAAGACATAGATCTTTTTTGTTTTACTTTTCCTCACCCTTTCTAATGCAAGAAGCTCAATTCTTATAGGATCATTGGTCAAAATTCACAGAATTTGTACTGTTAGGTTGAACAAAGACATGATTTAAACACACTTAAAGATGCTTTCAAAATGTAAATGTACTTTATTAATGATCAGTAGATAAGAATGAGATAATGTCTTTACAGGTTAATAAAACAAAGACTGAAACTAGTTGTTGAGTTAAAAGGTTTATGCTTGCACTGTGTAACGGTATAAGTCAATGTCTATAAAAATGCATATAGTTTGCTCCAGTTCTATCTTTCATCCAACTGGCTTTCTGAGTTATCATGCTATGGTTAGCTTTTACTAGTTTGAACCTATGCACCCTTGTTTGAAAGTATTTTTCCTGATATACCATTTCTATACTATTTGCTCCATAAACGTGGAATTTCAAATGCCTGTAGGATTGGGACCCAGTGCAGATGTCGTTTCAAAATCATAGTCTATGAGATGATTTTTGAATCCAGATGCCTTTGGGATATTTTTGGAATTTTCCAAATAGCTTGTGGGACTGGGGCCCGGAATCCTTCTTGCTTTCAAAGAACAGTCCAATAAATTCCTTAAAGAAAACCGAAAGAACTGCGGATGCTGTAAATCAGGAACAAAAACAAAGTTGCTGGAAAAACTCAGCAGGTCTGGCAGCATCTGTGAAGGAGAAAACAGAGTTAACATTTCGGGTCCAGTGACCCTTCCTCAGAACCCTCAGAACTTCTTTTTAAATTCCTTAAAGAGTTTGGTAAAGGGCCTGTGCATAGAAAATATGATTTTTAATCTTTACTTAATTGACTCTGAACATTCTGATGCATATTAGGAGATCCACTGGCTCTTCTTTGAATTATTTTTAATGAGTCTGTTTGGACATGTTATGACAAACCTCCATAGCAGCCGGGACTTGAACCGGGGCTTTGATGTTACCAAATGGAGCCTTGTTAATGAGTCTCAGATAGATACCACCACAAGGTGGCATCATATGCACGTGTATGTTCTCTGGAGTCAGATATAAGTTATTTTAAAAAATGATACTAAACTGTTTAATATGGAGATATTAAAATGGAGTCATAAGAAAAATCTTTTTTTCTGATTTTGCTTTTTCAGGTGAATCAAAAAATTTGAAGTGGAGCATTTTACTACATTCAGAGCTAATGGAGAGCAGCAAGGAAAAAAATAAACCAGAAGTTCAACTTACCATAAGTGAAGTATTCAACTTCTGGAGGAAGTGATGCTTTGGAGAGATCACTGGCCTTTACATACGTATCTACATAGAGTTGTGCTTCAGAAGCCTTCAGAAATGCCATAAATCTTGCAGTGAATGAAGCAACAAAGATAGACAACATCCCAAAATCTAGAATGTTCCACAAATGCATGACATACTCTTTGGGTCCTTCTTCCCATAGTTCTTTGCATTCTGTCCATATCATACCTGAGAGCAATAAATTACTTTTTATTAAGAGCCCTTAGCAAAAATTGCATACCATTGATTACAAAGTATAAGTTGGTATGGCATATAGTAACCCTGTTCTTCCAGTCCTAAAAATCATATCTTTATACTGCATATAAATTGACCCCATTTTTAGTTATAACACATTAAACTAATTTTAGTAGTTAGCCTCAAGTTTTCATGCCGTTAAGTACAAATTTTGCTTACTAACACCTTGTATTTGGTTGCAATGGATCAATTAGGCAAGATGAGTTGTCTTGTGACACTGCAAAGCAGAGCATGTGCGGCAAATGTTGAAACTTCTAATAAAACTAGTGAACTATGACACTGGTTTCAAGCTAAAAGTTGAACATTTGCTCACACATCAAAATACATTGTGAATTAAAAGCCTACTAATGACTGTGAAAGTGTTGTTATTGTCGTATGGAGTCATCTGGTTCACCAACATCTTTTAAAGAAGGAAATCTGCCATCCTTTCCTGGTCTGGCCTAATGTGGATCCAGATGCACAGTAATGTGGTTGACTCCTAATTGTCCTTTGAAATTATCTAGTAAGCCTCTCAAGTGTATCACTCTGTTACAAAGTCTCAAAGAATTGAAGCAGAATGGACCACTTACATTGACTGGTAACAACAATGGCAAACTCAAGCCTATTGACCCTGCAAGGTCCTCCTTAATAATATCTGTTGAATAATGCCAAAATTGGGAGTGTTAAGCATTTGCAACAATCACCAGCCAGAAGAGGATGATCCATCTTGGCCTCCTCCAGAGGACCCCAGCAACACAGAAAGCAGTCTTCTGCCAATTTGATTCACTCCATGTCATATCAATAAATAGCTGGAGGTACTGCAAAGGCTCTGGGCCCTGATAATATTCCAGTAATAGTTCTAAAGACTTGTGTTCCAGAACTAGCCATGACCCGAGCAAAGGTCTTCCTGGATAGCTACAACATTGGCATCTACCCAACAATGTGGAAAATTGCCCGGGTATGTCTTGTACACAAAAAGCAGGAACTGGACTAGCTAAATGATACTGCAGCTACAGGAACAGGGTTCTGCAGCAAGTAATTCACCTCCTGTAAAGCCTGTTGGTTAACAACAAGGCATAAGTGAAGAGAGTGATGGAATACTCCCTACTTCCCTGGATAAATGCGGTTCCAACATCAGGACCCATTATGTGACATCGTCAACATAGACGAAACATCCAAGAATTTTGTTGTGGCGAGGAACTGAAATCTCAAGTGGGTATGTTTGAAAATAGCTTCAGTGAAAACCAAGACTTGTGGTGGCACCACTTTGCATGGACACAGGAACTGTGAAATCTAGAAGCACCTGTGAAGAAATGACTCCCACATTGCAGTAATACCAAAAAAAAAGCCCATAATGGGGTGTGTGCCTCAGTAAGCCATTCAAAGAAAATACTTGTGCCACATAGAATAGGTGGATGCTTGACAGAGAGAAAAGAAAACTTCGTCATAAGACCATAAGACATAGGAGCATAAATTAGGCCATTCAGCCCATCGAGTCTGCTCAACCATTCAATCATGGCTGATAAGTTTCTCAACTGTATTCTCCGCTTTTTCCCTGTAACCCTTGATCCCCGTGACAATCAAGAACCTATCTATCTCCATCTTAAATATACTCAATGACCTAGCCTCCACAGCCTTCTGAGACAGTGAGTTCCATAGATTCACCACTCACTGGCTGAAGAAGCTTCTCCTTATCTCCGTTCTAAAAGGTCTTCCCTTTACTCTAAGGCTGTACCCTTGGGTCCTAGTCTCTCCTACCAATGGAAACATCTTCCCAACATCCACTGTGTCCAGTCCATTCAGTATTCTGTAAATTTCAATTAGATTCCCCCCATCCTTCTAAACTCCATTGAGTATAGACTCAGAGTCCTCAAACATTCCTCATATATTAAGATTTTCATTCCTGGGACCATTCTTGCGAACCTCCTCTGAACCTCCTCTGAACCTCCTCCAGGGCTAATACATCCTTCCTAAGATATGGGGCCCAAAACTGCACATAATATACCAAATGTGGCCTGACGAGAGCCTTTTAGAGCCTCAGAAGTACATCCCTGCTTTTATATTCAAGTCCTCTCAAAATAAATGCCAACATTGCATTTGCCTTCCTAACTACTGACTCAACCTGCAAGTTTACCTTGAGAGAATCCTGGACTAGAAATCCCAAGTCTCTTTGCACTTCAGATTTCTAAATTTTCTCCCCATTTAGAAAATAGTCCGTGCTTTTATTCTTCTTACCAAAGTGCATGACCTCACACTTTCCCTCGTTGTACTTCATCTGCCACTTCTTTGCCCACTCTCCTAATCTGTCCAAATCCTTCTGCAGCCTCCCCGCCTCCTCAATACTACCTGTCCCTCTACCTATCCTTGCATTGTCTGCAAACTTAGCCATAATGCGCTCAGTTCCTTCATCTAGATCATTAATGTATAAAGTATAAAGTTGTGGTCCCAACACTGACCCTTATGGAACACCACTTATCACTGGCTACCATCCTGAGAAAGACCCTTTTATCCCCAGTCTCTGCCTTCCGCCAGACAGCCAATCTTCTATTGATGCTAGCACCTTGCTTCGAACACCGTGGGCCCTTATCTTACTTAGCAGCCTCCTGTGCGGCACCTTGAAGTCCAGGTAGATAACATCCATGACTGGATACTGCCCTGCTTGATGTTCTAATAGACCTAGAATCCCTACAGTGTGGAAACAGGCCCTTCTGCCCAACAAGTCCACACCAACTCTCAGAGCATCCCACCCAGACCCATTCCCCTATAACCCACCTAATCTACACATCCCTGAACACTATGGGCAATTTAGCTTGGCCAATCCACTTAGCCTGCGCATCTTTGGGCAGTGGAAAGAAATTGGAGCACCCGAAGGAAACCCACGCAGACACGGGGAGAATGTGCAAACTCCACACAACCTGGGCCCCTGGCACTGAGCCACCATGGTGTGTGTGTGTGTGTGTGGTTTTGTCATCAGTCTGTGGGCTGTTATTATCGCACAAAATGCAAAATTAACCATTTAAGTATTGTTATTTAAAAATAGAGAAACAGTATGTTTTTTCTAGTGTTTTGCTCCTTTCTATATGAAAACACAGTGGGTAGAAATTGAAAATTGCACCCATTTTAGGCACTGCATGGTCTAAATTTGCAGATCAATGTTCTGCATCTCAAGAACACCCAAAAAATGCCAATCCAGATGTGGATTGGGCCTTTCTTCATACACCTACTGACAGCCTTTTAACACTGTCTTTAGCCTGGTACACACATAGGAGTCAAGATGTTACATTCCTCACTTATTTTACAGGTTCACAGCAAGAGTGTTTATTTTCAACTTCTGCAGTTTAACCAACAACTGTGAGCCATTCTCAAATTTTAAACTAAAAAGGAGAATGAGAGAGCAAGAGTATTCATTGTCAGCTCCCTGTCTACCATGTGACTGCTGCCAGCCTTCACCTTACCTCTGTGCTTACCCTTTAGCTGCTAGTAAGACAAATAGCCATACGTCTTCAATGTATGGGCAGCCCATGAAACAAAGAAGGTTCTGTCAGATTATGAACAAAAAACTACTTAGCTTGAGAACTTAGGTCTGGATTTTGTGGCATCACTCATTCCAGAAAGGAGGTGGAAGAGTATGAAAAATGGCAGAGAGGGACACAATTCTAGATTTCCCACCTCATTCATGTTTTCCCAATTTTGGTCAAACATTCAATGTGAGGCCATATTGCAGTTGTATCAGTAGAAATAAGCTAACGATCTGGCTAGACATTTTGATTACCTCCCCATCCCACCCCTAGGGCTTTATGATGAATGCTTGACTGAGCTCCAAGAATGACTAATGAACATGTTCATCACCTTGACAAGAAAATAGGATGGTTTGGCCTATCTGGATCAGAGTCAGGATCATTAAGTCATGAAATTTTCTGATGAATGCCTCATTGACTGAAATCTGACCCTTAATCTCAGGCTGGCCGTGGCCTCCTGGTTGGGGATACACTGTGGAATTCCATCCTAGTCTCCATGTTAGTCAGATAAATTAACTTTTTAGGTGTGGTGGAATTTATCTTTTCCCTAGGTTGGGGGCACATTTTTAAGGTGAGAGGAGAAAGATTTAAAAAAAACATGAGGGGCATTTTTTTACACAGAGGATGGTTCCCGTGTGGAATGAACTTCCTGAGGAAGTGGTGGATGGGGGTCCAATTACAATGTTTAAAAGACATTTGGATAAGTACACGAATACGAAAGGTTTGGAGGGCTATGGGCCAGGAGCAGGCAGGTAGGACTAGTTTAGTTTGGGATTATGTTCGGCATGGACTGGTTGGACCGAAGTGTCTGTTTCCATGCTGTATGACTCTATGACTCTATGATTTTGAATATGATAAAGGCAACATGTTTGAGAACTGGCTATCATGCTTTAATAAATGACATGAGTAACCCTATGCACATTACATCATAATGCATTTAACATTCATAATTCATAGCATATTACAATATATTGCACATATGCTAGTAATTCCTTCATCAAAGTATGTAAGGATTAATATATTTTATATCGGAAATGTAGATACATAACAGTATTCAACAGGGTATAGGGATGTAAGACACGTAAAGATAGGATTTAGGAGCAATACTACATGATTCAGCATTTTGGGGCTGCTCAACCATTCATAAGATCATAGCTGATGTGATTGGGGTTGCTGTGGTATATAGACGTTCCTGTAAAGAACATTAGATGCAAAACCAGACATAGGCCGTTCAGCTGATCAAGTTTGCTCTGCCATTCAGTGAGATCATGGCTGAGCTGACAATCCTCAACTCACTTTCCTGCCTTTTCCCCGTAACTCTTGATTCCATTACTGAAAACAAATCTTTCTCCGGTTTAAATAAACTTGATGACCCAGCCTCTACAGCCCTGGTTCAGGATTCCTTAAGGTTAACATGCAGATTTAATTGGCAGTTAGGAAGGCAAATGCAATGTTAGCATTCATTTTGAATGGGCTAGAATACAAGAGCAGAGACAGCCCCAAAAGTGGGGGCACGGTGGCTCAGTGGTTAGCACTGAGCCTTGGGTAGATGGACGTGAAGAAGATGTTTCCACAAGTAGGACTGAACAGGATCTGAGGGCACAGCCTCAGAGTGAAGGAATGACCTTTTA